AAAGCATCGAGAAGAACATTATACAACGACAAGCGTCATCGTAGCGTACATTTCACCATAAATTATATTATTGGAGCGTTAAAATTACGAAATATGAAATGGAAATATATGCAGCAGGCACGACAGGGATGTTAAAGAAAATTTAATCGGAAGAATACGAAAGGGTGAGACCACTTGGAAGACCCAGATGTGTAGATGTAAAAATAATGCTAAAATGTACCTTAAATAAAGTGTCTGGTTCAGGACAGGGTCCAGTGGTGGGTCCGTGTAAACACGGTCTGAACACCCTGTTCCCATAAAATGCGAGTATCAGCTTCTCAAAAGCGGCCCACATAAAATTTGTAGAATTTCAAGAGATAAATATTTTGTTATGCAGACCCACATACATGATGTGGGAACAATTCAGTACGTCAAAACGTCTATGATCTGTAAGGCTGGCGTTGGAATCACCGGCGGAGATTTTCTCTTGGCTACCCCACGTTCACATGTCATAGTCTAGAATACGTAAAACTTTACTTCCACGCCTCAATACCGTGGCGCTTAAGCACGGGTAAATTATGTCACGTGGGGGGAAGGCGCTTAAAAGCGTTAGATGGTGAATATGTTCCGCTGTTGCGCTGAGCGTATCGTGGTTTGGCGCCAGCAGTTGGGCTATGTTCCTAGTACGGACAGTGCATACAAACATCATATGGACTCCTTGATTTGTGGCCGCTAAGTATTCCGTACCGATCGAAATAGCTTTCCAGGATGACACATTTCAACGTGCTCAGCGTGGCCTTCACGGAATTACAGAATCTCAGAAGTGACAATTCACCAGGAAATCTCTGCGAATATGTGTTTGTTTTTGTTAGTGACGTGTGATATCTCACGGGCCCTAAACTTACATCGACATGTGCGCGCGATCGTCATCATGTCCTCCAAACAACCCCAGCAAAGGCTTAATGTATTATAAGCAACAAGGTACACCTTAAAGGATCTGAACCTAATTGTAACGCTCTTCTGGATTTTGGCGCCGTGTTGACTGATCGGCAGATGACAACATTTCAGAGAAACGCACTATCTCCATCTACAGAGTCAAAACCCAGAAGAACATCATCATCGTCACCGCCGCGAAAATATCAAATCCCACACGATCTAAACCTACTTTGAAAAGTGGATCAGCGGGAAGTGTTTTTTTACGGGACATTCTCCTCAAAAGACACAAGCACATTTTTAAGTCGTCAGGGAGAAGTAACTTTTTGTGGAGTTAGCCTTTCATTTACAACAAGACCAAGTTATGCTCTATATAGGTATTCATTTGCAGGGTCAGTGAGAGGAATATCAGGCCTACGGCTAAGCCACACTTACTGACAATTAAGGAACGCCTGCATGTATGCCAGAGTGCTCATATCTCTTCACGACACTCAGGAGGGTCTGATCCATAAAACACTAACATTTTGAAGGGAAAGTCAGTTTTATAGTTGTCTGCTGTGTAAAACTGGTAACCTGTATGCGAGTGTGTGAAGGAAGTGTGGCATGGAGGTGGGTCTGGGTTAGGTTTTGCCAATGTCGCCTCAATAAATCTCCCACCACTCCCAACTCCCCCATCCCAACTTACATAACGTTCCAGGGGTGGATATGCTCATGAATGACCTCGTAACATACGAGGAGTTAACATCACCTCTGTTCAGAGGGATCAAAAGGGTCAATTGTCCTGGGCTTCCGGATAAGTGCAGGACCTAATAGGTTTCGAAGTGTTTGGATATAAGCACCTTACAACTCATAATAGTTACACTGGAGAAAAAACGGTTAGGTACAGCCACGTTCCTCTTGACCACAAAAGTGCAAGAAAATGAGCCTACTCCTTGGCTCCTGCTGCCAGCCACTGCACTGAGTACGTTGATGTATGTGTAAACCTCTGAAGTTTGTAATTATTACGAAATTATAATTTTCGAATCCGGGCCAGATAATCGGTTATTCTGACTGAGACTTTTCATCCTTTACCTCAGTCTCTTCAAACCAAGGACCTCCGTCTCTTTCCAAAGAGTTACCTATGCGCCATCCACAGCAATCTTCCCAACTCATACTACGCAATACGACCTTTCCAAATGAAAATGTATCGTCAAATCGTCTAGAACAGTGGTTTTCAACCTGGGGTACGTGAAATTTAAAAAATATATATATAATTTTATGATAAATACTGAATAATCAGTAATGTAATTTATTCAATTTATTTTAGATGTAGATTATATACTATGTATAACTTTAATTATACACCAATAACTTTGAGGGTACAAAGTTGAAGAGAAATTATATCTGGGGGTACGCGAACAAAAAAGGTTGAATACCACTTGTCTAGAAACCAACATTAAGATATAATATTAGGTCTATCTTCCTGCCTTTCCTCCCAAAACGGATTGTTTACAAGAGGTTATCCAACAGAAATCGCTGGTTGCATTGTGGGAGGTAACGAGAGCTGTCTGATGCCTGAGTCACGAGCTGCATTTTCGAAGCACTGCAAACTTCTTATCCAGACAGCCTGACGCAAGGGGATGAGGGAGGCCATGTGGAAAATATTTAGGTTAGAGGTGATAGGGGAGGATTTCAGATACAAACACACAGTAGTGATGTTAAGAATCTTTCAGCGGACAATTATTAACTTGAAGGGTTGGCTGTGTGTTACAAGTAGGTTACAGGGGTAGATTTTAAAATAAAGGAGAGTCTGATGTTTCACGTAAAAGAAAACGTGTCCTTCTCGCACCCTTAAAAGATTTATAAATATTTGTACCTCAAGTGTATACACGATGCCGGTTGTTCTATGTTATTCAAACTCTGAAAGAACTCCACTTCTGTAAGCCTAGTATAAAGCTACGGCCTAATGCAGTGTTAGGGACAGACTCTATATGTTACGTTTCTGCGGACAATTCTTTAGGTCATTTTCGACAAAATAATAAAAAAGCACCTCTTAATTCATGGGCAGACTCTATGTTATGTTTCCGCGGACAATTCTTTAGGTCATTTTCAAAAAAATAATAAAAAAGCACCTCTTAATTCCGGTATATTCGCCTGTTTCACCATGCGGAACGCGGGAGTGATAGCACCCGGGATCGATGGTGGAACCAGAACCAGTTTCCGAAAAGTAGTGGTCTGTTCAGAATATCAAGACGATGTTCAAAGTAAAAAATGCCGGCAAGTTAATATTAACTTACTGTAATTACAATATACGAGGGACAAATATCCTTTATATTTGCATACAGATTCACGAGAATTTCAGTTGAAATTCACGTCCTGTTTGCTCTTAAAAGGAGGACAAACAATTTGTGAAGTGGAAAAGAAACGAAGAAGCAACTAAAACCTGGAAAGCATTCATCTTACAAGAAGTGTTTTTCCCCAAACAGACGTGACGTTAGAAGAAATCCTAAAAAGAAAAGAATGAAGGAAATTAAAAGAACACAGAAAGAAGAAGTCTCTGTCTATACTACCGTCCTGCAGAAGTAAACTCGATAGAGTTTCATGAACTAAACAAACTGAACGTCTAGAGAAGCCGCAGGATTTAAAAAAAAAGGAAGAAAGTTTAAAAGAGAGGTAATCCATCGCCAAGTATGAAGCACGCACAGAGAGCAGGATTGTTGATACAACGGAGGGTTTACGCTAACAGCAGGCTAGTTTATCTTGCTGCACAGTACTTAACTTTATATTATTATACTTACGCAGGACTTTTCGTTTACACCACAATGTAAAGAGAAACAACCACTCAACAGCCAACGTTATTCCTACCTGAGAACCAAACTCATCACCGTGCTTTAACGACTTAGACCACTGTTGCTCTCAGGTAGGGGGTCGCCTATGTTGTCGCTTCTGAGGGACGACTGACATCTTCCTTCCTGAGACAAGGCAACATGTGGCAATGCTCCCCACGGTTCAAACATAAAAACGTTCCGTTACTTTTCTCAATAAATTCGTCATTAAGAAAACAGTTAAAAAGAGTCGGATAATGGAAAGGAAAAGAGCGCAAACGTAGGCCACTTTCAAATATCCCTTGCGATTTTCTGATCTCCTGTCCAAGAAGTGCTATAAAATGTCTAAGAGAATAAGTAGTTTCAGAAGTGAATTCTAAATCGGAACAGGTCACAGGGCCCAAGCCGTAAAGGTGAAGGGTGACGAGAACAAAATTGGTGTTCATAATGTTAACCTTCCTTGCTTCACTACGAACGAATGAATGAGCTTTGCGAACGACTGTCCTAAATCATTAGAAATCTCCAGTTTACTATTTGTGACATGCCCCACATCAGGTTACCCTTGCAAGGGGGCAGTTAAATGTTGAGTATATACGACAGCTTCGGTGGGGACATGGAAACTCATTAATCACGTTTCAGGTCCCTTGTTTTCATTTGTTGACGGCAGAGAGTGGCGCAATTTTCTTCCGTCCCCTTACACGAAAATCGCAGGACAAACACCCAGATGACCGTCACCTTCTGACCACCCACACAGGCAACTCAAGAAGAAAAAAAAGGCCACATATTAGCGTTTCTCAGCCGGTGGGCAGTGACGGGACTTAAGGTGTGCAGTTATTCACAGATTTCTTTTATAAAGACGGTTCAGTGTGCTTCCTGAAAGGTTCGAATGATAAATAGGAAATTATGTAAAACGATACTGTGGTACATTATATTAAAATAGGTCATTATTCCAACATTTGATTGGCCAGACTGATAAAACCACAAAATTCTTAATCAGAATAACCAGCCTCTGGACTGATAGCCAAGAAGGGACGTCCAATGCAACATAGTTTCATGCTGTCAAACCAACAATCACAATTTCCCAGCTTAGCATATTACATGTGTCAAAACAGTCAAACTGAACCAAAGCAATGGACCATTCACAAAATGACGATGTAAATATGGTAAATATGGCGGTATCACATTAACCCTTGAAAGCTGAAACTCATATAAATAATATTTCATACTTCAGTTCACACCACAAAGGAAACACTAATAGCTAATCAATTAATTATTTGTACTTACATTCTGCTTTCATCACGCCATGAAACACTTCATCCACTTGCACCAGGAGTACAACTGTCTTGACACTTCCTAGCACCAATTCACCCTTTCCTATGGCTGAACCTCCTCAGCCAATGACCACAGTTGGCAATCCTAGTGACACAGGACTCAAGGTTGGGTCCTGCTAACTCCAACTTGTAACCACTGTTTTTCCCAAACACTATAAAAAATAAGGTATGAGAAAGTGAAATGGATGTCAGGCTCATTAACATGTTCATAAAAGCCCATAACCAATTAATATCTAGTCACCCTATCCTGCCATCTACGCCTTGGTCCTCCTCCAAGCAGCCTCTTCCCTTCAGATTTCTTACAAAAATTTTGTGCGCACTTCTAATTTCACCCCGAGTGCCACATCCTCCTCCTCGACTGGTGAAGAGCAGATATTATGAGGCTTTTCATTATTACGTTTCACCGTCCTCCTATCACTTCGGTTCAAATATTATCCTCAACACTTCGTTCTTTAACGCAAGAAACACATAGACCAGCAGACAAGAAGACAAATGATTCTGAAATGCATCATTAGTTGATGCAATTAGTTTAGAAAATCTTTTTAATCTGTTCACTATTTTCTGAAATGCTACCAATTAGTCGGATACAATTTAAATTAGGCTAATGCATTTTAGTAGGAGCTGTGGACCGTAAATATCAAATTTCACTTAACCGGAGTAATTACAAGGACACAGAGAGATGGATATGGCGTGGCTACAATTTTTTGCGAGGCATGGGGTAATAAAATAACAGTACTACAAAGGAAAAATTTATTTACAGTATTGTACAATCTTTAACAACTGTCACTTAAATATAACACATGGAGTATCCAGGAGAACATATGAACGTTATCATTTCTACATTGTATGTCATGTTACTTTTATTGATGGACGGTTCAGCCACTAAGACACCTTAAAATGACCACCCGCCATTTTTCTGAATCAAGGAATAAATTCACTTTCACACATGCCCAACACAACAAATGCAATTAAAATTAATATAGAGTAATTGCTTTTGCCTTCCACATACTTTCTTATTTGTCAAGACTATGAACTCAAAATGAAGAAAACTTGTTTACAATAAAGTAAACATTCTCTATAAGGCATCAGGAACCATGAAGTACTCACCTGTCTTAAAAAAATAACATCTCAGATACAACAGCTGTGTTTAATATATTAAAAAATTACTCCATATTTTGCTCATGTGGGTTGTGACATGTCGACTCACATGCAGATACCAACATTTCAGAGACCCACACTGATATCTTTGCCACCACGAGAACATCAAATCTTACTCCATCTTGTGTTACAGATATACCGTGATCTACACATCATCAGTTTGCGAGTTTTAATTTATATGAGATCCGAATTCCTAGGAAGACCCTGTATTGAAATGCTGGTACTCCCGAATACACAGTCCATTCATTTCTTGAAAAGGAACCAAAAGGTTAAGGATGCATGTGCTAAATCACAAGTTCAACTCCCTGAATCTAAAATACTTCAGTTCTTGGTCACTGAACCATATGATAATGTCCGAGATGGAAACTGGAAGTCTTGAAGACTAACGCATACACAAGCAGAGCTGAAATATTGCATGGGCCTCCAAATATAAATATTCAGGTGAATATCAGCTCACATGGACAATGAGGAAGGAATGGGACAGCAACAGCCATGGAATAATTGTAGGTACAACCTCAGCATTAACTTGGAGAGACTGTGATAAAACCATCAGAAATCTCAATCAGAGTTGCTGGCAACATCCTTAATGCAAGTGCAGTATTTTACTGTCACACTAACCTGATCAGAATATGGAAATGAAACTTGGATACGAACCAAACAGGACGGACACGAGATCTCTCAGTATGACTAAATAAACCAGGAAAGGTATGACTCAGTAATGGAAAACACTGGAACAAGGATTTAGGAGGACGTATTTCATCCAAAGTCACTCCTTTATAAGAAAACGATCCCTTAAAAAGGCAGAAAAAGTCAAACAAAAATGTCTGATGTCCTTATACATTTGCACCGGCAAGTCCTTAGGAATAGATGGTGAATTAGAAAGATTAGGTATAAATCTGGCACCTAAATACTTGAATTTAACTCTTGTTACTATGTAACAATCCAAAGGTTTGTAGAACAGTAGCTAAAAATAAAAATAAAAGTTAAAACTTCCAGAGAAGCACAACATACGATAACAATGACATTCTAGGCAAATAATTATGAGCACAACAATAAGCATGAAACATTGGGTAATTCTAGTATCAAAAATCAGCAACATGACATACATACTTCTACTTATAATCCTGTGATCAGGTTCTGCGCAACCAATGCAGGGTACTGTTTCCACGCAGAAATGGAATGCTTAAATTCTTTATAAAAACTAAGCTCAATGAAGATTCAGAAGAAATCAGCTGCTCTGGGTCTTTTAGGAAGATTCAAAAGATTGTCTGTGATGTTCAGATTTGGTGTGGCTACTCGTTTAATTCTCCCACTACTATTCTTCCCCGGGGTTGGAGTGTTAGCAAAATGAGGTGAAGGATGTCCGTTACGGGTGCTATGCCGAGGACTGGGGCTGTATGATGCAAGCAATGCCAAGTCACTACCTATGCGACGTCTCAACTGAGTTGATGCTAAGCGTCGAGCAGCAGGGGACATGGAGTTCAGACGATCCAATGATGTAGTGCCACTACGTGGATGAGGAGAAGGCCTGACAATGCAAAAGTTCACATTACTAAGCAACAACACCATAAACCAGAAATACGTGGTTTGATATTTAATTTAGTAAGACCACTGCAGCAAATAATGATATACATAGTAACATTTCATTATTATTCTCACAATGGGATGAAACTATGTGAATGGAAACGCTGTCACTAACAGGCCAATTGCCCAACCCCCAGATGACACAAGAGTGAATATGCAATACTGACAGGAGAAAGCAGAAGGACTCTAGAGAAAATCCTATCCACCGCTACTTTGTCTACCACAAATACCAAATAGACTTGACTTGGGAGCGAACATGGACCTCCACAGCGAGAAGCAAGTCGATAACAACTGCCATGGCAAAGGTTCAACAGAGCCAAGCAAAAATACCACACCTGTTTTAACACAACTGTATGCACAATACACATATGTTCAATACCAAGCTCCGATATTATTAACAGTACTGAACCACAGTCACCAAACTGCAATCTATATAATGAATCATATGCTCATGCCAACATCTTATGGAAAAAAGTGAATTCACTCTGCCATCAGCGACTGCTTCAACAAAGCTAACTGCTATGGCAAGGTATAGATTGACAGGTTTGTTGCCAATATCAATTTTCCTTCAATAAGGGAAACCTACTTTTACAGCGTATGGTGCCATTTGTTAAAGCAGCCATTATAATAACCTCAGGAGGGCAACTACCGTTGAAGCTTCCAACACGTAGTTCAGATTTTCTAGAGGTCTCAGTCAATTACATAAAGAGCGTCTACTTACGTTGCCAGTTGTTTCCGTGCTGCTTCTATGGCTTTCATCTTCCTGTCCCTGTGTCGTTCTCCTGCCTTCTCTGCTAATGCCAACGCCAGTTTTTCTCTCTTTGGAGGTTCGGGTATCCGAAATGAAGGTCCCTGCAGCGTGGTTCGAACTGGTGTGTCACCGCCATCAAGACGAAAAGGTGTCCCCTCAATTTCACCCCATGTCATTAGTGGTGATTCACCAACACCTGCAAAATACAACAACAAACATCAAAAATTTCATTTTATACACTGACCAAAACAGACTGGCTCACTGAGTCCAATAATTAATTACCCCAGTTACATTATTCTCCAAATGGACTGTAATATACGCTGTGCTCCAGAACTCACTCACACTGTTAAATGCATTTCAACAGTCACTGAATCCATCCACCAATGGGTCTGTTTTACCATATCGAAGTGATGCATCTGACATTAGTAATCCAGTTTTCTTTTCTTTTCATTAAAAAATTGTGTGTTGTCTTACATTCACAAACAAAGAAATATGCATAAAAAGGTAAGCTCAATTCAACAATTTCTGGAAAACAGACATCAACCAACATTGATGTACCTTGAAATTAGTATATCCAAACAGTAATGATGTATTTCTGAAGCAATCGTCATTACCACCATGCAGACATGCAATTTATCCAGTTGAAGCTACTGACTCTGCTTTTGAAGTACACTTCATAATGATGTAACATCCATCAGATGTGACTTGGTATTTCTGTCTTTGCTTACACCGAACCAAAAAGAATGACACATGAAGCAGAATAATGTTTCACAAAAATTCTCATATCAACAGTCTATAAACATGCAAGTCTTGAGGTAAGCCAAATGTCACTTAGTTCATGTTTATCATACGCACCTGGAGCAGGTGATGGCGTTTTCACAAAGCTAAACCCATTAACTTTTGGAGTTTCAGTGTGGATCAACTCTTTACCGTCCACGCCTATCTTCCCTTCTAGTGACTGTGCCTGAGACTGTGCCAACTGGTGTATTGTCTCCTTGTTTTGCTGCTCGTCAAATGGATTCGACGTGAGGCTCGTATTTGAATGGACAATAACCTGTCTCCGCCTTGCCAATTCTACTTCCTCTTCAGGAGTTAATGGAACACCTGCACAGAGTTTTACAAAGTCATTACAATGGGCTGTAGTCCGTAGAGAACACAGAACATAACACATCATTCTCTCATGTACAAGACATATCATTCAGATACAGTAAGGCAATAAATATAACATTTACTAGAGGGTTACACCATTTTTTGTCTTGTCTGATGTTTCTGGACACCTGACAAAGGTCAAGAAATTACTTCTAAGGAAAAACAAATATAAAGCAGGATTCCCACTTACTCCCAGTGCTAAGGTGATGGTGATGACAAATTACAGTGGTGAGCTACTACATAATGAGCACTCTGCAACACAGTTGAATTCTGGTGTACCATAGTCACAATGTTCTGTAGGAAAGACAAAGATCGGCATTCGATCCAACCAGTTGTGAACTCAATATATTTAGTACAGAAGTTATTCCTAAACCTAAAATTATAAAATTTAATGAAAATTTGATGTGTTGTACTAATATTCTTTACAGTTCAATATTATACTCTGCTGTAACCTTGAATAATCCAACATTCTGCACACAAAATAAATATACTGACTTTATTTGGTTCTTAGAATGCATACAAATAATAAGGGTTAACTGGTAAATTTAATAAAACTTGAACTAAAAAAGAACTGAACTGAGAACACTAAAAATAAAATGATTCACTTTCTTTTTATCTGACAAGTGCCTGTTCACAGCTGAAATCCCAATGAAGGACTGAAATTCTGATATTGTGCTGAATGGATGATTAATTAATAATATATTGGAAAGAATATGGAAGAAAGTGGTTGTGGCCTAATTTAAGGTACTATACCTACACCTGCATGGAGGAACTGAGAATAATCTGTCAGGATAGTCAGTCTCTAGGTTGAGTATGGAGAAAAATACTTTGGTGAAGTAACAAAAAATGATTAAATTTGTAACTCATCTTGTAAAGTGCATAGTGAGATATGTTATGAACAAAGGTACTCGTATACTGAATGACATTACCAACAGTTAACAGTTTATATAGCTCTTTAACCCTTAGAACAGAGTAGTACCTATATATATATATATATATATATATATATATATATATATATCACATACTTCAACATTCACAAACACTGTATTTATGGACTTAAAAATATTCTCAGAACAGTCACAGTTTCCTTAACATTAACATTAAGTCTTGTAATGGATATGCCATGTTTTAAGGTAAGAATCTAATTTTTGAACATTACTTACATAAACTTCAGGTTTCAAAGGATTAAAATTCTGACTAGAAACTGCGTGATTTCAAAATTTAATTTCTATCTTACCATCTGGGACATACATGATGTAGTTCTTGTTACGATATTTCCATGTATCAACCATCAGTGGCCTCTTCTCATTACTTGCTTGTTCTTCAATAGATGGTAGCCGCATCATCTCTTTCAGTTCTTCCTTGGAATCTTCCTCAGCCTTATATAACCATCCAAACTATAAAAAAAGTTTCTCCATCTTACTATAGTGCTTACATTATTGTAAATGTTACCACTGGATGATGGTCACAAAGAACAAGATGGTGTATTCTTTAATATGTATAAATTTGATGTTGAAAGAAATACTTACAAGATTCAATACAATCTACACCCACATTTTCAAATATAGGGACCTGGTAGTCCTGCTTTGTCTTAGCCAAAGGTCTGGGATTTGAATAACTGATCATTAGGTTAACAAATGTCATTTCTTAATTTCAGAAGTCATAGAGGGTTGAATAATATTACAAGATGATCATAAATGGTCAGCAGGTAAGAATTTGGAAGGGAACCTGACATTTACTTGGAGACACAAAACCAAAATCAAAAACATTTGTCATAATAGTAGGCAATCTGCATAACATCTGAATCAGGCTACTTCACCTTGTCATTTTAAGGCAAATTTTGACAGAAAAGATTTGCAAGTGTAACTACATACATAACCAGATTTTCTACATTAACATTAATGCACAGGCAATAAAACTTGTCAATAAACATGACATATCAGGTAACTGGTAACTGACAGTCAGTTGGAAATCACTACCTTAATTTTCACAATTTTTACTGGAGGAAATTATGCTACAGTTAATGGCCTTGTGACCCCCCCAACAAACCC